CCAATGCCGACCTCCACCTTCACCAGGTACGTGTCCTCTTCCCCACACTCTCCCTTGTTACCCACACAGCGCCCTTCACCTCCGAAGACCACCTTCGCCCTTTACCCCTCTGCGCCCTCTGCAGCCCGGCTATGGCCGCCAAGCGCCCTGTATGCAGGCAGCGCCCTACCGCCTAGCGCTGGCCTGCTTGCTCTTAGCGCAGCACTGCCTTGCACAGCGCAGCACACATGCATCCGCGCAGCGTGCCCGCAAGTGCTAGCATTGGCCAAGATCCCTGCTCCCTCGCCCTGCTTGCCTATATGCCAATGCAGCGTGTGGGCGGCCTCCCTTCAGCCTGTGACCGGGACCCAGAGGCTGAAGCCAACTCGATACAGTTGGGCCCCGGGGTAATGCAGTTGCGCTTCTTTCATCAAGGCCTGTGGCCAGATTCAGATAGTGGGCCGATTCCCCTTTGGCATTTTCGGCCTCTCTACCCAGCATGCATTGTCGACCTCACGTTCGAGTGCCCAGGGCCTAACTAACTCAGAGGCCCTGGGCATTTCAGCATTTGCTGAAATCCGAGTCTCGGTGCACACCAACCAACTGGCGTGCTGCAACTGTATGAACCCCACTTCGTGAAATATTGGCACAGAGGGCTCTTGTTGATTTGCTGGCCCGCCTTCACTTAGGGCGGGCACGAGGCTTGCTGGGGCCTTAGCCCAGAACATGTACATCATGGCAAGGCCCCTACTTGAGGGCTCAATCCTCACAGTACTAATTTCTTAGAAAGTCATAAAAATTCGGAGATGCAAATTTTAGGAATTATATACCGAGAAATTTTAGGTAGATAGACTTGTCTTTGTGAAAATGGAAAAGACACAGAAATTTTGGTATTATCTCCAAATAAGAGCTCATAAGAAAATTGTGATAAAAAGAGCCAACAAGATCAACATCTTCCAGATTTTAARTATAGGTCTTAGGTATTATAAACATACCTTACTTGTAAGTTCGATAAAGATAGTGATAGAAATCAGATTACTGGTAAGTTATGGATGTTAATAGGATATTATTTGATTGATGATAATTAAGTTGATGATTTGGATGATGGTTGGATGCCAATTAGTTGATTAATTAATTCCTGAAACTAAGTAGAGAATAAGAAGAGAATGTAAAAACAACTTGAGAAATATCAATCAAAATAAACGAAATAATAATAAGGAAGACTGGCGAATAGGATACTGACTAAAGGACTTTTATAAAAAACGTGACACTCCTTCCCCCAGTCCCTCTTTCTCCTCAACCTCCCTAGTATCCGACTTCCTCACCCAATACCTCCCCTCCTGTCTTCCTTCTTTACCCCCCTCCACCCTTCGGAGCAGAGAAACGAGAAAAACAGAGGAAAAGGGAACATAGAATAAGAAGAGAGGGGAGGGAAGGAAACTTGAGGAGATGGAGGTGGAAGCCAAAGAAAGAGAAGGATGGAGAAGGGTGGGTGAGCAAGGATGTGGATCTTCTCCCAAACCTTCACTACTCACGTTCAACTAAGGTAATGATGATGATAATGATGATGATGATGATAATGATGACGATGATGATGATGATGATGATGATGATGATACTGTCGCTGCCCGATATTAGAAGTGAAAATCGTCCTGCCTCTTCTTTTCTGCTGCTCATTTTTGGCGCTTGACTTCCCGTTATACTCTCTCGTCGTAGAATATTCGCAACTGTAGTTTGTTGATTAGCCCCTGCGTATCATCCGGTAAAAATCGCCCAACGTTTGTCGCCCCTCCATAGCGTTTTTCCAACGCTAGAATTCGGATCCCGCCCTCGAGCGGGAATGCCTTCGCCCCCATGAACCTGTCGCAGCGATGTTTGGCATCCGACAATCAATCAGAACGAAAATTCTCACTCCTCGCCACGTGGAGGGTGAATCCACCGTGGAGGGAGGAGATCACCCACCGGGAGCACCACCGGCTAAGTCACCAATGTCTGCGCTTCTCTCTCGCGCCTAATGGCGTGCGCGCTTCTGCACCGGTGCCTTGGCCGCTTGTGCTAACGCCTGAGCATTCGGATCCTTCCGCACCGTTAGTGCTGACTTGTTGGCATGGACATGCACTCAACGAGGCCCACCACAGCCCACACATACATCCACAGTAACACAAACACGCCCGCCCGCCATAGATGCAAGCAACTCCAGAAGCCTGCACCCACTTAGCTAGCAACACCTGTTTGAGCCGCCATGGCTGCACTCCCAGCCTGCCGGCTGCCAGCCTCGCCTGCCACCCACGACGGCGCGCTCCCCCGGAGGCGCGCACCCAAATCAGCTTACGTAACGCGCGCGCACGTGTGCCCGACATGTCTACGGAGCTAGCGCTAACCCGCGCTACCGCGTACTCGCCTCGCTCAAAGGTAATTGCGGGTGGCTGTGACCGCCAACTCTAGTTTTGTTTGCCCTATTCATACCTATAGTTAGATTGGTTTGCGTTCAATTGACAAAGAAACTATGATCTTTTTGACCCTCAAGAGTTTATTTTGAGAGAAGGGAAAGGTGGGGGGTTGGATACTTAATTTTTTTATTTTTTTATTAGTATTATTGTTAAGCCCAGGTTGTTGTAGAGGCTGGATTACTGGAATTTGTAACAGTTAATCTAGTACTTTTAGGGGTCTCCGCAGTCACTTGAATTTTGGGAAGTGAGACTCGTAAGCTAAACCGGCCGATGCGGCCGGGATAACTCCGGGTTGATTTGTGAGGTCCCCGGCCTCGTTTCAAGGGTAGTAATGAAATTGAGATTTGAGTGGAAAAAAAAAAGCCCTAACAAGCCTAAAATGGTAACCTCCCTTCACCGAAAGAGAGGTAGAAAGCTATGCTTGCAGGGGTACCCTGTATAGCCTTAGGAGTAGCGGTAGGTAAGTTCTGAAAAGAAAGATATGTTCCATGATGACATGGCAGAACACGCCAGTTAAAATATATGTGAGGTGAGAGAAAAATATATGGCTGTCCCCCCATGAGGAGAAGGCAGCTTAAAAAACAAACAAAAAACAATATATGCTGAGTTGACCTACAGACCCCAGTTTGAATCCAGTCAGAATCAGATGACCAGAATCAAATTCCTTTCGAATTACCTGGGGCCGCCCAGTTCAACCATGCTATCTCAAGGCCGTCGCCTTTTCTTTTTTTTTAAATTGGAAAGATGTGCAAGGATGGCACGCATAAATAGAGGAACTGTCCAATTTATCCAAAAAAGAAAAGAAAAAGGGGGGGGCTACTGAATGTTAGCAATGGACTGCTTTTTGCAGAGTGTGTGGAGGGCCTACTTTGTCCGCCGAAATCTGTGGCGGCTTCGATCTGCAGCAGCCTCTATACAACGGTACTACAGAGGGCATCTTGGCAGAGTCAGAGCAGCTCAGTTTCGCAGAGAAAGAGATGCTGCTCTCAGGTTGGCATACTTCGACAAGGCAGCCACTGTAATCCAAAGGATGTTTAGAGGGTACTGGAGCAGAAAATACATTCACTCCTACTACAAGAGGGCAGAGTACTTGGCGACCGTGCTGGCGAGAAGCGCAAGGGTGAGAGAAGAGGCGAAGAAACATTACGAAGAAACGTTATCTAAGTTGAATAAGGATTGGAGTGACGATGTCATCCGACGGTTCAAAGAAGCGCTGGCGAATAAGCATCATCTGGTGAGCACCAATGCCATAAGAGGGGTGTTCAATTCCATCTTTGCGCAGCTGATGGGTGAAATCCCCACCTCAGGAGGCATTCCCCTAGAGGGCCACCTATGGACCGCAATGAAAGAGAGGGTCGAGAAGACCCTCAAGGAAAGAAAAAAGCAGCTATCGGCAGCTCCAAAGGGGCAATTTGGGACTAAGGGGGTGGTCCCATCAAGCAGCATGGGCACTCAAGAACGGTTGTATATCAGCTCAAGGGATCCCGACAACCTGGTCAAGGTCCTGTCACCTGACTCAAAGACCAAGGCGAAGTGGAAGGCGGGGATTATCGACTATCGATTGAGTCTCAGCTTTGCTGGGGGGGTTTACGGCACCTTGTCGTTGAGAGCACAGGAGCCGTACGACGCACTGCATAAAGCCCAAGAAGCTGAACGACTGGCCAAGAAACTGTCATGCCTCTCCGAAAAGCCTTTCATAAGTACGTTTTCGTCCAACACGGGTGTAATTGGAGGGCCGATCGGGGAGACGATTCGCATCTCCTCGAATTACAACCTGGAGAACGAGATACGGTCCATGGAGAGAAGGGAATCGTTTGAAAAACAGATGAAGGTGGGAGAGACCCCCTTCCGATCTGCTCTTCATGCCTTGACACTCTTTGAGCACTCAGGGCGGAGGAACTCTCACCTAATAGCCTCCTTGTAGCTAGCTATGATGTGCCCTTGATTCAAAGTTTAACTGTTTCTAGTACTTTCTACGGCTCATCCCTCCCCCTCCCATTATACCCCCGTTAACACCCCTCGCCCTTCCGTTCTCCTACCCATCCCCACCCCAACAACACCCTCCTCCTTCCCCTCCTTTCTGACCCCTTCCAGATACAACAAGGGATGACATAGTCCATGGATAGAAGGCCTATTCGAGAACTCCTGGTTGGTTGGAGAAATCTCTCCTCATTCGCCACCTTGCAGCCACTACTGCAGTATCTGCATTCTTGCCCCTCTTTGCCTCCCTCCTTCCTGAAAAAAGCATAATGCAGAGGGGGGTTACAATAGCACAGTTTAGCACTCCATGGAGGGACGAAGAGAAAAGATGAAGGTATGCTACTGTGCTGCACGATATACTCCAGAAATTCTCAGATAGTGTAAGTGACGCTGGACCCGTTTTTCAGCAGGCACAGATCCCAACCAATAGAAAGGAGCTAACCCCGGAAGAGGGGATGATATAAAAAAAAAAAAAAACAGAAGAAGAAGAAGGTGCAAGACATACATTCGAATCTGCATTTCAAGCATCTGCAAGGAAGTGCAAGGAAGTAAGCAATGACAACAGCAGAATGCGGCATCTCACAGAAGACCAGACATAATTGAGCCCAATTGGAAGTAGAAAGTCAAAGCGAAATGCACACCAAATAGGAACGAGCAATACACCCAAGCCGCTTGATTAAGAAAGTACTTCCACGGTAGTCGGCCGACCGCTGAGGCCCGGTCGCACCCGGCTCAACCAGTGTCTGGGGAGGTTACTCCCTGGTTGTTGGGCCTGTACGCACGCCCGGCGCGTGGCAGTGGCATTTTGCTTCCGCCACCTGTCGTTGGTGACGTGGATGGCCTGCACAGGGAAAGCGCCGGCAGAGTGCAATTGACATCATTAGTGGCGCGATGGATTTGGCGGGGGAGCTACAACATGATGCGGAGGGGTGGTTAATCACCCTGGAGGACGGACGCAAGCAGCTGCAGGCGATTGTGGGGGTGCTGTCTTCGCGGTGGCGGGAGGGGCTGATGAGCGCAGGGCGGGAGCTCTCTTTGGCTCAGTGGTTGGACGGAAGGACCCAGGATATGTTGGATGTTATGTGGGAGCTGGAGGAGGAGCCGGATCCTCGGCTCGAAGCTTACATTGACTGGAGGCAGGCAGATGAGATGATGGGTGACTGCAACGCCCTCTTCCGAGAGGGCCGTGATCTGCGCGATCAGTTGGAGGATCAGCAGGCAACGGACGAGATGGACGATAAGATGAAAGCTGGGAGCACAGGTTGGTGGCCGTGCATGACGACGGACGTGAACGAGAAGGAAGAAATGATGCCAGCACCGATGGTAACTGCGGCAGCCGCGGTGGCATATACAACAATAACAACAACAACAACAACAACAACAACAACAACAACAACAACAACAACAACAAAACCAGCAAAAATTGCGACATCATCATAGTCGATAGTGACAACAATAGCGGTACAGGCAGCCGCGACGACAACAGCGATAACAGAGGCAACAACGGCAACGGCAACGGCAACGGCAACGGCAACAACAACGACAACAGCTGTAATAGCAACATCAACAACAACAACAACAACAACAACAACACTGACATCGACAATGACCACAACAACGAGATCAGCAACAACAACGGAAGTCACAACATCAACACCAGCGCAGAGGGAGAGAACTTGTGGTCTGATGAGGATGGCGAGCAGGGGCTTGGGGTTAATTGTGCGATTTACTGTCTCCCCCCCCTTCTGTCCAGTATTTTCACATGTTGATCCGCTCCTCTTCGTCTGCCACCGGGTGGGAGTAGATTAGATGATCTCCCCTTTATAGATTGGAGTTGTCCGGCCCTCAACTTCCAATCATGCAGGGGTGTTGATTGCCCCCCAGGGGGAGATAGGTTGTTTAGGGTTTCGTGTCTTGGTTTGATCGATAAGATTGGGCTGCATGGGCAGGAGGTCAATCCTTCCCCTAAGCGTGGAAGTAATCAATGCCTCTGCTCTTTATGGAGATACGGTAGATGTGGTCGATAGGGTTTTCCCTTCATGCAACATATATTGATTGACGAACATATACACACAGTATTGGATGCACAGTATGACATATCCACACATCACTGTATAGGGACGCTGGACCCGATTTCCAGCTGATACACTTCACATCATTGTACAGGGACGCTGGACCCGATTTCCAGCAGGTGCAGCTCCCCACCAATAGATGGAGCCTTCAACGCTGGGGCCTACTTATCGAGGCTGCTCTTATCACCTCGTTAAGAAGGATCATTGGCATTAAAAAAAAAAAAAAAAAAGTAGGTTTTCCCACATATGCAGTTTAACCAAAAAAGGGAAAAAAAAAAAAAAAAAAAAACCACTTCCACTGCCTCCATTCATTAATACAACATCAATGTAGTCTCACTCCTGGCCGCTTGACCGCCCTCTCTACCACCTCTGCTCCTACCAGTCTAGCCTATCACATGTCACACTCTGTCCGCGTGTCACTTGCCTATCACCAGTCTAGTCAAACAGATCTTCCCGGTAAACCATAGGCAGAGAGGGAGAAGAGGACAACGAACGAGGGGCATATATATATATATATATCGTCACAAACAGAACTGCCCGGTAAACCGTAGGCAGAGAGAGAGAAGAGGACAACAAACGAGGGGCTGTGACAAACTGTTTCGTCGGAGTTTCACCGACTCATATATATATATATATATAGTTTTTTGAAATCAGAAATATATATATATAATGATGACAATCACATATCCAACATCAGCAAAACCGATTTCGAATAATCGTCCAGAAAACACTCACAGCCTGGTGAAGCAGCACCTGAGCCCGTAAGACGGCTCAAAATGGATTCACAGAAGACGGAGATTGACGGATCTAGCACCATATAGCTCTTTGTTGCACTACAGCAGCTTATGTACAGCTTCCCTATTCTCTATTAACAAAGGCTGACACAGTTGCAACTCTGACAAATCTGCAGCTAGACCCGGACATGTCGCAGGTGGCAGACTTGCACAGCCCTGCTGCTCTGACAAACCTGCAATGGTCCGCAGAAGAGGTTGCAGGACCCTGTGCTGCCAGCCGGCAGAGAACGGCCGGGGGGGGGGAAGGGGGGGGGGAGGGGGGTGCAGAGGAGAAGGGGGGCAACCAAGCAGCAGCACCAATCCAGCCAAGAGAAGAAGATGGCTCATTTTTTTTCTTCCATGCTCACTGTCATAAACCGCGCCTGCTCTTCAGCTCTTCGTCAATACCCCCACGATTGCAATTTAGGCTCTTCGGTTCTCCGGAGGAGGTTGCTGAGCTGCAGGGGCGCAATAGCCGCCACTGTTGCAACACAGGGAACGAAGGAATAATATCCATCGGCAAAAGATGAGGCTTGAGGCTTTTTTGCATGCTCAACTCCAGCTTTCTCCCCATCTCATACTGCACTGGGCATTTTGCTTACAGAGCTCATCATTTTGTTTTTGCGCTGCGAAGATCCCATGGCGTGTGGTAGGTGTTTCCCCAGACCTTCTGTACTTTCAATCAATCGAGGGGTTTTCGAATCTCGTACTTAAGGGGGGGAAAAAGGTGACTGACGCTGACGCACCACCTTCCCTAAGAGCATACTCACACTTGCACTTTCCTAAATGTATCTGACCGTAATCAAGTCCACAGCTCACACGAAAAAAAAAGTTCTAGTGTGAGTAGTATGCCCTAACACAGGAGCAAAGAAATGTGAGCGCAAGGGGTCCCCGCAGAGGCCCAGCAAAAAGGTCCTCAAACCTCAAAAGCCCAGCAAGAAGACCTCGAGGATTTTTGGCCAAGTTTCACTTCACGGAAGTCACTTGCAATCACGGCGCACACATCTTCTGTACATTACGCCCTTTTTGCGGAAGTCATTCAAACCCCCCAAAAAACATTGTCCAACCAACCAACCAACCTACCAGGTTCTTTCTACCTACCTACTTACCTAAATTGGCAAATCCACAATCCTATGACAAATGCCCAACGGAGTGTTGGCCCGGCTGCCATATGGAACACTGCCTGCCTGCTCTCTAGTATCCGATGCGGTGCCTTATTTCAGCCATTTGCATGTGTAAGGGCATATACTCACACTACCTCTCTCTCAAAATGCATCCGACCGTATTTACGGCTTGACCTGGATGTGTCTGGCCGAAATTACGTCCATAGATGAGTAAAAAGGTCGTAGTGTGAGTATTTCAACTTCTCTGCAGCCGTAATTGCGGCCAGGTACATTCAGGCCAGGTCAGAAAAGCGGTCATATACATCCAGGAAAGTCCTACTGTGAATGTGCCCTCAGGATGGTAGAGGATGCAGAATCCGAACKAGGTGAAAAGGGGAAGAAAGGGGACTGGACGGGAATGGTAATGGGGACGAAACGTGACAGGGACTAGGAGTGGGACTTGTATTGGGACTCAGATGGGAACCAGGGTGGGATAAGACAACGAACAGGGCATGAAAGCGGGCCTTAAAAATATGAGCTTGGGAAAGGGATTCCAAAAATGGGACGAGGAATGGGGCCGGGAAGAGGACTAGCACCGCGACGACGAATGCGACCTGGAACAGGGAGGGACCTGGGAATGGGACATGAGGAATGGGACTAGGATTGGGACTGGGACTGGGATTCATGACTGTGGACAGGACACAAGGAATGGAAACGGGACTGGTCCTGGTACTGGGACTGGTACTGGTACTGGGACTGGGACTGGGACTGGGATTTGCATTGGGACAAAGGTTGGGATTCAAGACTGCCACACGGACCTGAGAGTGGTGGTCCATCCAATGATAGTGGAACGACTCGCACTAAGGAAATCAGTGTTGATCTGATGGCGTTGAACAGCCGGCTTCGTGCTTCGCCTACGGCAACCTCAGCCGGACAGGTGCAAAACATTCCCCCTTTTTGCAAAATATGGACCAGATTCAATTTGTGCGAAAAATATGCATGACTAACTGCAGTGCAGAGTCAGCAAACTGCTTTCCCTACCACAACCTTATACCCTGTATAGCACAAGCCAGCTCTCCCCTTCTGGCATGCATCAACCCTATTTGTAAACCTACCTACCTACCTACCTACCTACCTACCTACCTACCTACCTACCTTACCTACCTGACCTACCTACCTACACACCTTAACCACTAGAACACAACAAATCAATACCCCTCCAGGTATACAGCACACCTAGTACTGGAAAAGCGATGTGTACTCCCCACCAAGGACAGTGTGGAATATTGTTTAAGCCACCTGTGCCACACGCCTTAACCAAAAAAGCCGCGGACGTCCACAGGGAGGCTGCGCTTTCATGTACGGGACGGCCTGCTGCCGGTTTGATAGATAACGTATGGCAAGACGCTCTTCACGACGTACCGCCCGGCCTGCGACCGGTTCGATGCGTAATTTTGACGGGAAAACTCTCGTCGTGTGAAAAAAATCGACCGCAAGGCAGCCAGCAGTTGTTCAAGCACCCGGCTTAGCTTCCTGCCGATCCGGAGCTGTGCGCACAGCACCCCTCTTGGCGAGTTCAACTCGCCGCTTGAATTCCTCGTCCCTTTTCCTCTCTTCCTCTCTGGCCTCTTCTTCTGTCAGCCTTCTCACCGGAAGCCATTCAGGCCATTTCCATTCCGCTTTCTGTTGTTCCATCATCCACTTGTGGTCGGCGGCACCCTGCGGAGATCCGAGGGAACCCGCTCTGCTTAGTTCTTCTGCCGCTGCTGTGCCATCGCCTCCGACAATAGAAGGGTCCAGCGTGAATCTCTCTGCTGGCCAAGCCGACATCAGTCGCCGCATTTTGTACTCTTTCAACTCAAGTGCAGCCCAGTGCAATGCTGTGCCGACGGCCGCGAAAAGAATCGCACACGGGAGGGCTCTGCTGGAACCACCTGCACATTGGCGGGGCAAAGCCAACAACTCAAAGGTCAACGCCAAAGATAACTTGAAGTCAATGCAAAAACAATGGACATGTTGATGCCAGCGAGAAAAACAATGGACATGTTCATGCCGAAGAGAAAAACAATGGACATATTGATGCCGAAGAGAACACCAACACATTGGAGTCAAAGCCATCAGTACAGAGTCCGACTCGACGGGAAGAAACTCCCACAAGTCAACAACATCAGACAACAAGATCGACAAATCAGACCATGAGCAGACAAAGCTTCAGTTACCTCTTTTTGTTTATTTGTTGAAACCACCAGTACCCCGGCCAGCTATCCCGTCCGCACTCGCCGGTTAACACGGTGCCGCAGCAAGGCTCGAGCTATCCGATGTTTCGCTCTGGTGTCCGTGTGTGTGTGATTGGGATCCCTTGGTCATGAACACAGCCACACACACACACACACACACACACACACACATATCTGGAAACAAGACGAACAAACTTGGGAGACGAGAGGAACCAGACTCTCTCACCCATCTTCATCGAACAACCATTTGCACTGATCAAAGAGAGGGATTGAGACGGCCATATCCAACAGCGAGGAGGAGGCGGAGGGTTAGGGCTATGGCAACAGCATAGGCCCTGAGAAGGTTTCCCAGTTTGAGGGCACAGTCCTGAATCCAGCATAGTGCTGCCTGCTGTAGGAAAGGCAAGGCGATTGAACTTCCATTCATTCACAAACGCACAGTAATAACTTAGGAATGCTGAAGCCCGTCCAAGAGGAAAAGGGGGAAGGCAGCAAAGAGAAGAAAGGAGGGAGGGACGGACAGAGGGACGGAGGGATGCACGGAGGGATGCACGGAGGGATGGACGGAGGGACGGAGGGAGGGAGGGAGGGAGGAAGGAAGCTGCCAGTGAAGGGATGGACGGGCGGAGAGAGGGAAGGAGGGAGAGAGGGAACTGCCAGTGAAGGGATGGACAGGCGGAGAGAGAGAGAGAGAGAGAGAGAGAGAGAGA